TTACATAAAATCAATGACTTGGCTGCCACAGCTTTCCGCGACAATGAGTTCCACAGATTAACCACCCTCTGGCTGAAGAAATTCCTCATCTCAGTTCTAAAGGGTTGTCCCTTCATTCTAAGGCTGTGCCTACTAGTGGAAACATCTTCATGTCTGCCGTATCCAGGCCTCTGTGTTCTATACGTTTCAACCTGATTTCCTCCCAATCTTCTAAACTCCATCCAGGAAACACCCAGAGTCCTCCATTCTTTGTATGACAAGCTCTTCATGCCCCAATCATTCTTGTAAACCTCTTCTGGATACCATCCAATGCCAACATATCCCTCCTTAGATATGGGGCACAAAACTGCACACAGCATTCCAAATGCAGTCTGACTAGAGCCTTATGCAACTTCAATAGTACATCGTTGCTCTTGTATTCTAACCCTCTTGAAACGAATGCTAACATTGCATTTATCTTCCTAATGCCAAATGAACCTGCATGTTAACCTTAAGAGGATCCTGATCTAGGGCTCCCAAGTCCCATTGTGCTTCAGATTTCCAAAGCCCTTCTCTGTTTAGAAAATAATCTATGCCTCTATTCTTCATACCAAAGAGCATAACCTCACACTTTCCCACATTGTATTCTATCTGCCACTTTTTTTGTCCACTCTCCTAGCCTGTCCAAGTCCTTCTGCAGCCTCCCCATTTCCTTTTACCTATCTTTGTGTCATCTGAGCACCTAGCAACAATGGCCTCAGCTCCTTTGTTCAGATCATTAATGTAAGTGTATAGTTGTGGCCCCAATACAGACACTAGTCACCAGGTGTGATCCTGAAAAAGACCCGTTTATCCCTACCTCAGGCTTCTGCCAGTCAGCTGATTCTCTATCCACTCGAGTACCTTGCCCCCAGCATCATGGGTATCATCTCTCTTATCAGCCTTCTGTGCGGTACCTTGTCAAAGACCTTCTGGAAATCCAAATAGATCATGTCCACTGGCTTTCCTTTGTGTAACCTGCTCATTACCTCCTCATAGAATTCTAACACATTTGTTAGGTACGACCTCCCCTTGACAAAGTAGCACAGACTTAGCCCTATTTTACCATGCACTTCCAAGTACTCATCCTTAATAATGAACTCTAAAATCTCACCAATGACCAATGTCAGGCTAATCAGCCTAAAGTTTCCTGTCTTCTGCCTCCCTCCCTTCTTAAACAGGGGTGTTACATTAGCCATTTTCCAGTCCTCTCAAATCCTCACTGATGCTTCTACAATCTCCTCAGCTATCTCCTTCAGAACCCTTAGTCTGTCTAGTCTGGGTGATTTTTCCACCTTCAGTCCATTTACCTTCCTTAGTACCTTTTCCTTAGTGATGGCCACTACACTTACCTTTGCCTCCTTGACACTTGAAGTTCTGGTATGCTGTTGCTGTCTTCCACTAATGTTGATGTAACCGATGCAAAGTACCTGTTCAGTTCCTCTGCCATTTCTTTGTTCCCCATTACTACTTCTCCAGCCTCATTTTCAAGCAGTCCAATGTCCACTCCCGCCTCTCTCATCTTTTAAATATCTTTAAAAAAACTTTTGCAATCTTCTAATATATAATCTTCTTTCCCCCATATTGCTTTTTTAGTTATCCTCTGTTTTTAAAAGGTTTCCCACTAATATTCATCACTTGCTTACCTTTACTTCTGCTTTTATGCTGTCTCTGACTTCCCTTGTCAGCCACAGTTGCCTTGTCCTTCCTTTAGCATGTTCCTTCTTCCTTGGGATGAATTTCTGCTGCACCTCCCTTCCGCAGGAACTCCTGCTATTGCTGCTCCATTGTCCTCATTGCTAGGCTTCCCTTCCAACCTACTCTGGCCAGCTATTCCCTCATTTCCTTATAGTTACTTTTACTCAATTTTAATACTGTTACATCTGATTCCAGCTTCTCCCTCTCAAACTGCAGGTTGAATTCTATCACATTATGGTGACTGCCCCTTAGGGGTTCCTTCACCTTAAGCTCCCTAATCAAGTCATCTAATCGTTACATAATCACCAAATCCAGAATTGTCTGTTCCCTAATGGGCTCTACCATAAGCTGCTCCAAAAATATCATCCCATAAATATTCCACAGGTTCCTTTTCTTCAGATCCACCAATCTGATTTTCACAGTCCACCTGCATATTAAAGTCCTCCATGATTATTATGATAGTGCCTTCTTTACGTACTTTTTCTATCTCCCGTTTATTTTCTGCCTCACATCCTGACCTTTTTTGTTTTTTTTGTTTTTTTTACAAAATTCATTCACAGTACGAGGACATTGCTGGCCAGGCCAGCATTTGACGCCACTGTTTAAAAAAGGAAGTAGACAAAAAGCAGGTAACTATAGGCCAGTTAGCTTAACTTCGGTAGTGGGGAAAATGCTTGCATCTATCATTAAGGAAGAAATAGCAAGACATCTGGATACAAATTCTCCCATTGGGAACACCCAGCATGGGTTCATGAAGGGTAGGTCATGTTTAATTAATTTGGTGGAATTCTTTGAGGACATTACTTGCACGGTGGACAATGGGGAACCTGTGGATGTGATGTATCTGGATTTCCAGAAGGCATTTGACAAGGTGCCACACCAAAGGCTGCTACATAAGATAAAGTTGCACAGCATTACAGGTAATGTATTGGCATGGATAGAGGATTGGTTGACTAGTGGAAAACAAAGAGTAAGGGTAAATGGGTGTTTTTCTGGTTGGCGGTCAGTGGCTAGTGGTGTGCCTCAGGGATCAGTGTTGGGACTGCAATTGTTTACAATTTACATAGATGATTTGGAGTTGGGGACAAAGTGTGGTGTGTCAAAATTTGCAGATGACACTAAGATGAGTGGTAGAGCAAAGTGTGCAGAAGGCATTGAAAGTCTGCAGAGGGATACAGATAGTCTAAGTGAGTGGTCAAAGGTCTGGCAGATGGAGTACAATGCTGATAAGTGTGAGGTCATCCATTTTGGTGGGAATAACAGCAAAATGGACTATGTTTTAAATGGTAAAAAATTGCAGCATGCTGCTGTGCAGAGGGACTTGGGTGTCCTTGTGCATGAATCGCTACAAGTAGGATTGCAGGTACAGCAGGTAATTAAAAAGGCAAATGGAATTTTGTCTGTCGTTGCTAGAGGGATGGAATTTAAAAACAGGGAGGCTATGCTGCAGCTGCATAGGGTCCTGGTGAGGCCACACCTGGAGTACTGCGTGCAGTTTTGGTCTCCTTACTTGAGAAGAGATATACTAGCACTGGATGGGGTGCAGAGGAGATTCACTCGGTTGATTCCGGAGTTGAGGAGGTTGGATTATGAGGAGAGACCGAGTAGGATGGGATTATACTCATTGGAATTCAGAAGAATGAGGGAAGATCTTATAGAAACATATAAGATTATGAAGGGAATAGATAAGGTGGAGGCAGGGAGGTTGTTTCCACTAGCAGGTGAAACTAGGACTAGGGGGCATAGATAGAGAAAAACTGTTCCCACTTGTAAAAGCATCAAGATCTAGAGGGCACAGATGTGAGGTGGTTTGCAAAAGGAGGTGGTTTGATAAGACAGAAAATATTCACCCTGTGAATAGTTAGGAGTGTGGAATGCATTGCCTGGAGGTGTGGAGGAGACAAGTTCATTTGAAATACTCAAAAGGATATTGAATGATTATGGATAATTATTTCAACAGAAAAAGAAATAATTGGAATAAATGTGCAAAGGGGAAAATGGGGAAAAGGCACGAAGTTGGCAGTAGGTAATGATGCTCATTTAAAGAGCTGTTGCAACCAAGATGAGCCAAATGACCTCCTTCTGCATGGTACACTTCTGTGGTTCTGTGATCACATCACAGATTTTTGCATTTTTCCTACTACTTGTGTAAAGTTAAGAGATCTGCAGTTTCCTGTTTTCTTTCTGACTGCCTTTTTTTAAATAGTGGACTGACATATGGTAGCTTCTAATACACAGGAATAATTCCAGAATCCATTGAATTTTGCAAGATGATCACCAATGTATCGACGATCTCTAAAGCCACCTCATTCAACACTGTAGGATGTAGAAAAGCAGATCCAATGAACTTACCAACTTTCAGCCCCATTAATTTCTCCAGAACAACCTTACTAATACTAATTTCCTTCAACTCCTCATTCTCCAGGATCACTTAGATCTCTAATGTATGGCGATTTCTTGCATCTTCCTCAATGAAAACAGACACAAAGTAATCACTTAGCATCTCTGCTATTTCTCTATACTCTATTATAAATTCTCCTGATTTTGCCTGTAATGGACACAACATTCGTTTTAGCCAAACATTTCCTTTTTTTTGTTTAAAGATGATCCTGACTTGGAACTCCTACAACCTTCATTGGATTGCAGTGGCTCAAGGTGATGGCGCACCATTACCTTCCCAAGGCAATTAAGGATAGACAACAAATGCTGGCCTTGTCAGTAATGCAAAGGTTCCAAAACAAAATACAAGTAAATTGCCTTACCCCATGCAGTGTGGAGCTTTCAGAGTGTTACTGCAACCATATCACACTTCTGTTGCAAGCATTTAGATGTTTCGGAGACTGTGAGAAATCAAGAAATGAGCCGCATGCAGCAGAGTACCTGAGTCTTTGCATTGCTTATAGCCAGGATATTGATATTGCTGGTCCAGTTTCCTATGACTGTGAAACTGGTTAATTAAAGCCACAGAAACTCTACAAAACTGCTTCTTTCAGGTAAATTTGGGTTTCAAATGGCCTTAAACCCACAGGTTGGGGAGAAAAAAAAAAAAAAAAAAAAATGGGTGCCCAAAACTGACCGTTATATATGCACTTTCAACAAGGTTAAATTCATATAGAATGAGGACAGGGTAAAGTTCACTTATGATGGCCCCCTTTGGTGTCTTGCAATGCTTTTCAGATCAAGATTTGCACAAACTGCCACTTGCATCGGTTATCTGAGGGTAAATAAAATCAAATGTACATGTGCAAGGAGTTATAAATTGCTTGAAAAGTTGAAAAGGATACATTCTCCTTCATCAAAATAGATTTCTGCGATCTAAAAATAAGAAAATAACATCAATGGTGACGGACAGATTGCCACAATTTTGTCCTGTACAATTCTATGATAAGAAACTGGATTATAAAGTATTGCATTGCGTGGACTGGTCTTAAAGTGACCTCCGTATAGTTAAACACTGCAGTGAATTACAATGATTACATAGATTGAAAATATTTTTTTTCAAAAAAAGGCACATTTAAACAAAAGCTGCCAAGAAGAAAAATACAGAGGAGGAATCCATTACTTAGACATTTCTCATTTTGATAAAGAAGGTGGCTTCAATTAGTTAGTACATCACAAATACCTTAGCATATGTATAGTTTTAATACTGTATCACTGCAGCTTTCAAGAGATTTCAGATACTCGTGTCCGTTCATTTCCCTTCAACTGAAAAGGCCTGTAATTGCTGGGTTACCTTCACATATTTTTGAAACAAAGATCTACAGTCTTCAGCTGCCACCCAAGTCCAGAGAAGATTGAAAGGTAGTTACCAATGCCTCTGCAACTTCTACTCTCACGTCCTTCAAATCTTTGGTTGCATCTCATCTAGTTCAGTGTCTTACCAACTTTAATCACCAACAGCTTATCCAATACTTCGTCCTCATCAATTTTAAACCCTTCTGGTGATTCAGTTCCCTCCTCTGTCACCATGACCTGAGCAGCATCTACCTCATGGGTAAAGACGAATGCAAAGTACTCATTTAACATCTCAACTGTGCCTCCTATCTACGTGTGTGAACCCCCTCTTCAAAGAGCATATCTTATTTTTCCATAGCTTTGATTTTTTCGGGGGGGGAGCTAATGGCAAACAAGCTGAACCCAAGGGCAGTGCATGAAAGGAGTTTCAGCTAGCAACACGTAGCTGATTGATAACAGGTCACCGGACCTCAAACCAATGACAAAGACCTCCTGCCTATCAAGAACTGTGTGATCAGTTCCCAGGTAGCTAACCAGCTCATGGGTCAGAAGCCATCAGACTTCTGGAAATGAAAGAGCTGTATACTGAACAGTTTAAAAACAAGATACCTCAAGCTGAAGAAAGCCTGTTTATTTTCCCTCACCAGTTGTTATAAGCCATGGGTCCTATCAAAAAAGTCAGAGACATTCTAAACGTGAACCAGTTACCCTGTGCCTCCTGCAAGCAAGTGAAACTCCCTACAGAATAAGGATCGATGAGCGTGTTTGCAGGGAGTTTTCTAAAGGGCGGGTGTTGAGTGATATGTCACACAGAATCACTATATTATGGCGCAAAATGAGGCCATTTGACCCATCATGCTTATACTGGCTCATTAAATGAGCATCATTACCTTGTGACAAAACCTCCTCTGATTTAAGTAGCAATGTGGGATCTCAAATGTTTACTGGAAACAGGAGAACAGCTAAAAGTACTGACGATCCTCCCATCCAAAAGACAGCAAATTCGATACTTAATATTGAAACACTTTTGCTGCCACAATACATAGATGTGAATAAGGTGCTACGAACCACAGCTGTGAATTAGTAAGAATCTTGGAAAGGAATTCGAAGCAAAATTAATGAGGTAGAATTTATTTTTTCTTATTCAGCATTAATGTCATGGAGCAGCATCTCACATTGTTCAATTTCATGTATCTTTCATTAATGCATTATTTTTCAACCATAAATACTTCTTGAGACTTGTCTTTCATTTTCAGAAACTTAAGCTGTAACATTTTAATTGAGCAAGTGAATGTGCCGATTAGTAAAATATTCTTATTCAAAATCTACTTGGGAGGTAGGGGTGGTAATGGTGTTGGAAAAAGATAGAATTGATTGTACCTGATGAAGATAGTATGGCAGTCTATAGGAATCATTTAACTCTGTTTCTCTCTGAATGCAGTTCAGCAGAGTCCGAAGAAGTCTTTTCTTGTCGACTCGCTGACAGTTTACTTCCAATTCAGAATGTTTGTCATTTAAAATGGTGTTCTGTGACGTACATAAAAACTCTGAAGAATCTTCTGTGGCTTCGTCCAAGGTTCCTGTAAACCCACAAGAAGTTGAAATATATTACGTAATTCATGTAAATGAAAATAGAAAAATTTAGCACACACAAAAGGAAAACAGCACCGATCAGAAATTACACCCAACTGTAGTTACGTAGCATTAGCACACTCTTCACCTTTGGGATTAGAGCTCAAGCTTTAGTGAATTATCTTCAGAAAAGTTAAACTATAACAACGGTCTCAGCCTGAATCAGACTATTCACAAATGTGATGTTGTATTTCACTCAGAGATAAACTTATGGTCATTTCCTCACACCACTAAAACGGTCTACCTCATCCAATTAATATCATCCAATTCCACTCCTGCCTCATCTCATTCCTCACAGAAAACCTCACCTAGGCCTTTGCGAGCTCTAGACTTTACTGCAGGTAAGGTAAAATTGCCATCATCCCAGAGACCACAAGGCTGTTCTTTCATTAGGGGCATGGTGACTGTCAGGTGGTGAGTTTAACCTGACAGTCACCGTGCTTCAGGCGAGGGGAGAAGTTGAGAAGGTGGGCCCTTCATAGTGACCTCAACCACTGTTTTGAACCCATGCCGTTGGCACCCCTCTGCATCACAAACCAGCTGTCCAGTCAACTGAGCCATCACCCAATGATGAATATTACAACACATTGGTAACTAGTCTCCCATCCTCCACATACACAAATATCAGCTCAACCAAAACAACGCTACCAATATCCTAGCTTACACTTAGTCTTGTTGAAACACCATTGCTATTCTCACTGACCTCTACTGGCTCACAGTTGAGCAATTGTTGAGTTTTAAAGTGCTCGTCTTGTTCACAAATCTCTGCAAAACGTCAATCTTCCATAACATTACAATGTTCTTCAGACCTAGAGCACAGAGGAAATCATGAGGGACATGGATGGGGTGAATGGTCAAGGTCTTTCCCCAGGGTAGGGGCATACAAAACGAGAGGGCATAGGTTTCAGGTGAATGGGGAAAGATTTAAAAGGGGCCTAATGGACAACTTTGTCACGCAGAGGACGGTGCATGTATGGAATGAACTGCCAGAGAAAGTGGTAGAAGCAGGTACAATTACAACATTTAAAAGGCATCTGGATGGGTATATGAATAGGAAGGGTTCAGAGGGATATGGGCCAAATGCTGGCAAAAGGGACTAGATTAATGTAGAATATCTGGTCAGCATGGACAAGTTAGAACAACGGGTCTGTTTTCATGCTGTACAACTCCAAGACTATGACTCTACGACCTACAAACCCCCCAACAACTGTATTCCAAATCCGATCAGTTGCATACCCCCAAATTTAAATGTTTTACCTTCAGATGTCACAGTCCTAAAGCTCTAGAGTTTCCTCCCTGAATATATTCACCTCTCTCCTCAACTAAAAATGCTTTTTCTGTGCTTACTTCTATGACTTTTTGGTCATCTACTCCTATTTCACTATGTGGCTTGGTATAATATTTATTCATCAACACTCCTGTGAAGCACTTTGGAACATTTCATGATAAGCGTATTACAAAGATAGGTGGAGGAAGAGTTAATGTTTAAGGAAGTTGGGAAGCTGCAGAAGGACTTGGACAGGCTAGGAGATTAAGCAAAGAAGTAGCAGATGGAATAAAATGTGGGAAAGTGCGAGGTTAAGCACTTTGGTAGGAAGAATAGAGGTGTAGATTATTTTCTAAATGGGGAAAGGCTTTGGAAACGTGACGCAGAAAGGGACTTTGGAGCCGTAGTTCAGGATTCTCTTAAGGTTAACATGCAGATTCATTTGGCAGTTAGGAAGACAAATGCAAAATTAACATTCAGTTTGAGAAGACTAGAATACAACAGCAGGATGCACTATTGAGGCTGTTTGCGGCTCTAGTCAGACTGCATTGAGAGCAGTTTTGGGTTCCATATCTAAGGATGGATGTGCTGGCATTGGAGGGGGTCTGAAGGAGATTTACAACAATGATCATAAGAATGAATGCCTTGTCATATGAGGAACAGTTAAGGATTCTGGGTCTGTGCACAATGAAATTTAGAAGGATAAAGGGAGATCTGATTGAAAATTATAGAATGTTGAAAGGCCTGGATAGAGTGGGCATGGAGAATATGCTTCCACTAGTAGGAGAGACTAGAATCCAAAGGCATGGTCTCGTAAGTGAAAGAACAACTTTTTAGAACCGAGATAAGGATGAATTTCTTCAGCCAAAAGGTGGTGCATCTGTGAAACTCATTGCCGCAGAAGGCTTTGGAGGCCAAGTTATTGAATGTCTTTGAGACAGAAACAGATAGGGTTCTTGATTAGTAAGGGAATGACGGGTTATTGGGGGGGGGGGGGGGGGAAGAAGGTAGGTGAATGGGATTAAAAAACACCAGCCATGACTGAACGGCAGGGCAGACACAATCGGCCAAATGGCCTAATTATGCTCCTATGTTTTATGGCCTTATTACATAAATGCAAGTTTCGTTCAAAAGAGATCACCACACCAATCTGTAATTAACTTATCTTTTTTCTCCAAAAAAAATTACTACCCCTTTCAAGTAATATAATTGGTATATTGTTTACTGCTCCTTGCTGGTTATAGATCCATGGGGCCGGTCAGCTTCACGTAGCTCATCCAAAAGTCCAACCTTTATCCAAGGGAAAGCAATTGAATGTTTACAGGTTATTTGATTGCTGAGAGTATCCTAGCTCAGCAAGATCCTGTATTTAGCTCAGGTCAACACTATAAACAGAAATCAAGAGCAAGATCTCTGATTCAGAAATCTAGAACCCAACAATCATTGCAATGCATTAATATGTAAAAGACCAACTTGCATTTATGTATTACCTTTTACAACCTTACCTTGTTGTAATGCATTTCACAGCAAGTTAAGTACGTTTGAAGTCACTGTTGTAAGCTAAGAAATGTGGCATCCAATTTGCACAAAGCAATTGCGAAAGAGCAGATTTTTTAAAAAGTTGAAGGTAGATTGTGGGGTAAACATTGGCCAGAATACCAGGGATAGATAACATCCTTGAGCTTCTTTAAAATTGTGCTGTGGAATATTTTGTTTCCATATGAATGGACAGAAAACAGCCTAGGTTATTTTTTCTTTCTTTATTCGCTTATGGGATGAGGGTGTCACTGGCTAGACAGCATCTATTGCCCATCCCTCTGGAAATTAAGGGTCAACCATATTGCTGTGAATCTGGAGTCACACGTAGGCCAGACCAGGTAAGGATGGCAGTTTCCTTCCCTAAAAGGACATTTATGAACTGGATGGGTTTTTCCAACAATTGACAATGGATTCATGGTCATCATTAATGTCATATCAGAGGCACCATCTCTAACACTGCAGCACTGGATTGTCAACTATGCTGTTTTGTGGCGAGGTCCGACAGTGGGACTTCAATCCACAACATGCTGACTCACAGCTGCCAACATCCACAAACGTGGTTGTGGTCTTGGATTAAATGTGGGGTCCTCTGGGCTAAGTAATACTAAACAACGTGGTCACCAGGCAAAGTTTATCCTCTCTCAATAAGCTGAAGAATGCAACTTGCGACGTATAGTGAATTACATGATTTAAAGTGCTTTTTAAATATCATGCAAGGAAGGTGATTATGAAAGTGACCTTGGGTAATAGCTCCAGATTGCAGGTCAGGTGATCTATGTTGGCACTGTGGTTAAAGTTAGATGATAATTAGAGACGAGCTCTGTTGTTCAGTCATTTTTGTTTTGGATTAAGACATGAGAAAGGTTGACAAGTCAAGAAATAAGTCAATAAACTGTGCCTCCACAAAAGTTTCTTTCTTTGGGCAGGATCTGAATAGGGAGAAAAAAACTGGCAAGTAAATTTAGAGATAAAAACAGACCAAACTAATTTTTATTCCAGGTTTGTTACTTGCAATCTTCTAGGTTGTTTATTTTCGCTCACTTGAACAGCAAAAGATCGTAACTGAAAAATTACCAGAAGTGGCGGTTTTCAGTTCTCTTTCCATTTCTGAATCACAAGTCCTAACTGTATCTATCCCCAGTGGAAATTCGGCACTCCGATTAGCAATGCTGTTTGAAATTTCAAATTCATTAGCACAGTCTGTCTCCATGCAGTTACTTTGCATAAGCTCAAAGTCAGTTTTATCACGGCTGTCTTCATTGTTATTGATTAAATCTTGTTTGGTCCAATCAAATCCTTCCATTCTGTCATTAGTGAACGGTGAATTCTGTGTCTCACGAATCCGATTTTCATTTTCATCGGAAATTAATGAGGAAAGATGATTGGTTGCACCACCCTTTTCCACATCCTTTGGACAGCCATTTTTCTCCATTGTACCAAGTTCAAGCGTATGTGAACCTCCTTCATCCATGAGAACCTTCTACTATAACTCAAGCTGGGACCATCAATTTTCTTCAGCCTTTCTAAAATAAAGTGTGTCTGGCAAAAATTAATTCTAAAAAGTCAATAAAAATAATATTAACTTAAGATCAGCCATATTAGAATTGTAACAACTTTTCTCATGATATAGTCAACATCCTAATATAGTATACAGTTACTGTATGTAAATTCAATGATGTAGTTTCACTTACAAACTACATAGTGTATGTTACGTTATCATGTTATATTGTTATCATGTTTTCTGCCATTTAAAAGAAATATTTAACTGTAACTGCACAGTACAATTCTTTGCTTTCAACTCCAAATATACCATTAAGACATTGCAGAAAATCATATGCTTCATAGAATCTTACAGCACAAGAGGTGTCCATGTTAAATAAAACATATATGCAAATTCCCACATGTGGAGTGTTTGAGACATGAAAATACAATGGCTTTTTAGATGCCTTTTCTAGAAAATTTCTAATGTTACTATATTCTTTAACACCCCAGTGACATGATCAGCAACGCTGCAGTTCAAGATAGAATGATGCAAATGATTCACTATACCAAAAATTCCATCCACCTTGTGGGAAGCATATGGCCTCTGACTGACACCCATTTTGAATATGGCAGCAAGGATTGATAATCTCATTCCAGGAGTTATGGACATCAGGTTTCTTTCACACAGCAGCAGCCAACAGTATGAAGCCAACATATTTTGTGACAAGCAGGTTGTTTCTGGAAGGGGCTCAGTACTAGGGCCCTGGCTTTTGGCAGAAACTTTTAAACGATTTAGACTTAACGCATGATAAAAGAATTTTTTCAGATGAGACGAGACAAAAAAAATTGCTGCGTGGTTGATAGAGAGGTGGAAAACTGCAAATTGCAGGAAGATACTAACAAATTGGTCTGGCAGACAGAGCAAATATAATTCAATCTGGGGAAGCAAGTAGTTAAGCTGGAATCGTATAAAGCATCAGTTAGGCTTCTGCTTTGATTAGCATATTATAAGAAGGTTGTGATCACCTGAGAAAAAGAGGAGATTTATGAGATGTCGTCAGCAAATGGAGAATTTAACTTTCAACTTGGACAGGTTTTGGAACATACAAGATCTCAGAAAGATACAGCCGAGGTTTGTAAACTTATGACAACCTGCCACCCAGGTGGATAGAGTTGTTAAGAAGGTGTATGGTGTGTTAGCTTTCTTTAATAGAGGGACTGAGTTCAAGAGCCGTGAAGTTATGCTCCAGCTATACAAAACCCTGGTTCGACCACATCTGGATTATTGTATCCAGTTCTGGTCGCCTCATTACAAGAAAGATGTGGAAGCGTTGAAAAAGGTGCACAGGAGATTTACCAGGATGTTGCCTGGAATGGAGGGAAGATCTTACGAGGAAAGGTTGAGAGAGCTAGGGCTTTTCTCTTTAGAACGACGAAGGAGGTAACTTGATAGAGGTGTACGAAATGATCGGAGGTATAGACAGAGTGGACAGCCAGAGACTTTTCCCTAGGGTGGAGGTAGCTATTACGAGAGGGCATAGTTTTAAAAAGTGAGTGGAGGTAGATATAGGTGAGACGTCAGAGGTAGGTTCTTTACTCGGTGTGGTAGGGGAGTGGAATGCATTGCCGGAGCGGGTAGTGGAGTCGGCCTCATTAGGGGCATTTAAGCGGCTATTAGATAGGCATATGGATGATAGTTATAAGGTAGGAATGGAGGTTAGATAGACCTTAGGTTTAGGGTAAAAGTTCGGCACAACATAGTGGGCCGAAGGACCTGTACTGTTCTGTACGTAACCTGGAGAATGGTTAGGAAAAAATCCTATTTCCCTTAGGAGAGTTGTAAATAATTTCTTGTCATAGTTAAAAAGCACTTAGATATGCATTTTGAATGCTATCTACATGGCTACAGTGGGCTTAGGCTGGATAGCTGTCAAAGGTTTTTGATGGGTTGACCACTCCCCTCCTTGGTATGGCATATTAAGACTATTAGCTTGCTGTGCTTACGGTCTGTACCACCATATGGAGGTGGCCAGTGTATGGCACAATGTGGCATGCACCCCATGCGCGCACACACACACACACACACACCTTACAGATTGCTAGGCTCAGTGGTGGGGAGGTAGGCAGCTTATGACAGTGGGGAGCACTAAACTGTCAAGGTGAACATGTCAATGCATGGCACCATGCCACAGCAACGTCAGACCTGCAGCATCTGCCATCAGCTTAGCAAACAACATACTCTATGTATCAAGGACAGTGTGAAAGTCAAATGGGAGAAGTCCTCTAGATGAAGGGAGACTACAGTCAGCCAAGGGGTTTGTACAATTTACACACAACAAGCAGACAGGGAGCTGGTCCCACCAGAATCTGAGGATCTGTGTCCTTTCAGTCCAAGGACTGGGCCACAGTTAGTCTTGCAGGTCAATTGCAAGCTGCCAGGAACTACAGGTCAGTCTATTGGGGTGCTGTTGAGACATCATTACAGGAATTGGGCCAACATTTCCTGCAATGAGATTGAGGGGGATGGAGTATGATGGAAATGGATGGATATGCTGCTAGTGGTGATGTATGAGAATGAGAGGTGTGAGGTGTACCCAGTAATTGAGTAGGAAGCAAAGAGGACATGAAGGTTACCAATTTGGGAGGAGGTGGTTGAGAGCCACTAAACGGACATGATGCACGCAATACTGAGACTTGTAGTCCATAAGCCTTGATGAGAGGTGTGTGGTGGCAGTTACTGTGAGTGTTGGTTCCATGTGAGAGAGATATTGGACAGAAGATGATGGCACTTAACGTGGGGAGTGCAAAAGATCAGTGACATTCGTTCAACATTGCTGGGTGTTCCTTTCCACCCAGGGTGCAGTTAATGTTCAGGCTAGCTGTGGTCAGTGGCAAGAGTACTGTGGTCGTTGACTAAAATAAGAAAAGCACGGCCCTGTTTTCCACACCCTCATCTGTCAAAATCTCCAGGATGCTGTCCAAAGTGGGGAGCAATTCTTCTTTACCTCTGGATAACATTTATAGTAATAACAGTCAAACACCGCAGGTTCCTGGCTGGCAGCATTTGAAATGGTACATAGCTGAGCTTTAAATGTGTGTGCTGGAAGCATGCAAGCCAGAAAGTTCTAGGGGTAGCTTAGGCATTTCCAGCCATGAAAACATTCATATTCCTGAGGTTGCACCCATGAGCCCAGTTGCCTAATTAGATAAGGCGAAGAGTGGAAGATTGCATGAGAAAAGTTGTTCGAAGTCATGGTAGACTGGATGCCATGAATCTTACACAACAACAACACGATCTGTAAATGGGAAAATTCAATTTTATGTTTCATTATAGCATTGTTATGACATTTACTACCACAAAATAACAAAAAAACTCAATTTAAAAAAAAAACTTGTTACCAGAATTATGATAAACATTAATGTTTACACAAGTACAGGGAACAAGCATGGAGGCAAACCATCTTCTCAAGGGCATTATAGATGGGCAATAAATGCTGGCCTATTCAGCATTGCCCACATCCCATGATTGAATAAAAAAAATGTTTCCTCAGAATCTATCCTGCATTACAACAGTAACAACATTTTGAAAGGTCTTTGCTGGCTGCAAAGTGTTTTGAGACCTCCAATGATCTTCACTCAGGTAGGGTTTGTGGTAGGATCCATCAGTGAGGATCACTGCTTGCAAATCATCATTGATCACTAGCAATACATTTCCAGGGACAGAAATTTCAGGAGGATACTCTACAAGCCTTTATGGTTACCAGAGTCAAAGATGCAAGGCCTTAACCTCACCCTTCTGCATTTCTGAAGTCCTTCAACGTATTCATTGCTTTCCTGAATTAACTTTCTCCATTGCGTCAGTCACAAGGCAAGGACTCCCAGGATCAGTGAAGATGTTTGATTTTTTCAGCTGTTCAGGGATAGAAACAGAAACAGAAACTAGGAGAAGGAAAGGCCACTGCTGCTCATCAAGCCCATCCGTCATTCAATCTGATCACGGCTGATCCTCTATCTCAATAACATACTCTCCCCAATCCACTTGATACCTTTAGCCTCAAGAAATCAATTTTATTCTTAAAACATGTTCAGTAACATGTCACCCACACTCTTCTGTTTTGAGTTGCCTAAAAATCATTTCAGAGCATTGCATCTTTGCTATCTGGAAATCATAACTTTTGTCTCTGGTTCTGAAATACACTTGGTCTCACGTGGACCACTGCAGATCTACGGTCTTCATCAAGGCAAAGCCCCCAACATATGGGAAATATGGGCTGAGAGGGCTTTTGGTGTTTAGGGGAAAGGCCCAATTTCTCACATACACTGTCACTTAATGACCAAAGATGAAGTAATTTCAGTTTTGGACTGGAGGCAGTGTCGACTGACATTTTCCTGCTTCACTGTTAAATTATCTGCACACCAGAATAATTTGCTGGATGCAAGGTTCAGCCTTGCAATGAGGAAGGTGGAGTGGATCACACATCTTGTTTAAGCCCAGTGTTCACCGAGATTGGATCAATGGTGGTACTATTGATGGTGTCATGGCTAGCATGCCATCATGGAGTAGATGGAAGATAATGCCAAATTTCTGGAGTCAGATGAATGTGAAGAGGATATACCATGAGCTGTCAAGGCGGACAGTCAAGTCTCCATTCCTCAGTGACCCATTTAAACAGAAATTCCAATGCCATAAAAAGTTGGCACTGAAGAAATCCCAATTCCCTCAGATTACATGGAAAGTTACTTCAGCTACAGAACAGCATTTGGGTGAACCTATGAATAATATTTTTTCCTGAATTCAGGGACCTGGCTGACTTCTTTCAGGTACTGTGTTGTATACATCTGACATATGTTTTTAAAAAATTGGCACTATTTTCTCCATTTGTAAATTAAAATTTTATTGTGACAAGTAGAGGCATGAGACAGGGAAAGTAATCAGTTCACCCTTGCCAACTGTGAACTGGAACAAGAACATTTGTAGAAAGGGTAAGGAAGGTAGCCAAGTATTTTGGGTTTATCACAATAGCACTTTTGCACAAAGATAAAACAACAAGCATGATATGACAACTGCATAACTTTGCATCTTAAGATTGGCCCATCTGGAATTGTTTATGATGCTCTACACTATTAAAACAAAAGATTTTTTTTTTGTGAAAAATGCTTCATGCTCCAAACTGTTGGGTCTAAAATCATCATGGTGTCTAAAAATGCAAAGAATCAGGAATCAAATAAAATTGGCCCTATATTTTCCTTTGAAATGATCCAAGTATGATTTGATTCCTCGCACTCAATACATTATCCACACCCCCAGGAAAAGCAGAAATATTCTCTCAAACTGCAGTAGATTTAAACTGCACCTACAATTTTGCATTGGTCTCTAACCTCCTACTCATCAACCACTTTTTAGACAACTCCATGGAGTCACCCAAATACTACTATTCCCCCAAAATTAGGACATTTGATTAAATATGGATCTTCACACCAATACCACTCAGGAGAAATTATCACTAGATTCTTAATCCAGAGATCCAGGCAGTGTTCTGGTGACCTGGTTCAAATTCTATCATGGCAGATGGTGGAATTTAATTCAATAAAAAATTTGGAATCAAGAATCTAACGATGGCCGTGAAGGCATTGTCAACTGTTGGCAAAACCCATCTGGTTCACTAATGTCCTTACGAGAAGGAAACAACCATCCTACTGGATCTGGTTTAGACATAACTCCAGACCCACAGCAAGATGATTGACTCTTAACCGCCCCGAAAGAAAAAAAAGACAAACCACCTAGCATCAACCTAGGCACCAGAAATGACAATGGCAAAGACAGCATTGTTGACCATTTGAAGTCTCTCACAGTAACATCAGGGAGTGCGTGTCAAAATTAGGATACCTGTCTCACAGACTAGTCAAGCAACAGTCTGACTCAGTCATACACATGGAAACATACCTTATAAAGTCTCAGATACCACCATCACCAGATACGTCCTGGCCCACTGGCAGGCAGTGTATTGCCACAGGTGGCAATACAGTGGATTGGGAGGGAGTTGCCTTGAGAGTCCTCAACATCAAGTTGCATGGCATCAGGTCAAACCTGGGTAAGGAAACCTCCTGCATACCATCCTCCTTCCACTGATGGATCCATGTTTAAAAACAGTTGGAGGAAGCACTGAGGGTGCTAAGGATGCAAAGGGTACTCTGGGTGAGGGATTTCAATGTCCACCATAAAGAGTGATTTGGCAGCAGCACCACTAATCAAGCCGGTTGAGCCCTAAAAGGATATTACTGCTAGACCAGTCTAGAGGTGGTGAAGGAAGAAAGAGAATAATATATTTGATCTCATCCTCAACAATGTGCCTGTCGCAGGTGTGCATTCCCATGGCAGTATCAGTAAGAGTGACCACCACACAATCCTTGTGGAGACAAAGTCCCACCTTCACATGGAGAAAACTATACATCATGTCGTGTGACACTATATCATTGGGTTAAATGGGATAGACTTTGGACAGATCTAGCAACTCAAGACTGGGCCCAGGGCGTCTCATGAATGCATCAGCTGCTGTAAAACCACACAAACACAAACTGCAACCTCACGTCCCTACATCGCCCCATACTCTACCATGACCATCAAGCCAAGGGACCAACCTTGGTTCAATGAAGAGCGCAAGACAGCATACCAGTAGCAGCACCAAGCATACCTAAAAATTAGGTATCAACCTGGTGAAGCAACAGAGCAGGTCTACCAGCATGCCAAACACCAAGAGCAGCAAGTGATAGACAGAGCTAAGCGATCCCACAACAAACAGATCAGATGTAAGCTCTGCAGTCCTGCCACATCCAGTTGTGAATGGTGGTTGACAATTTCAACAACTCAGGAGCTGGCTCCGACAGTACCCCTATCCTCAATGTTGGGGAACCCAGAACATCAGTTCGAAACATTCGCAACAATCTTATGTTTTAATCAGCCAGAACTGCCGAGTGGACCTGATATTTCGCCTTGGGAGCTTACTGCCCAATGGTCTCAACAATGACTTCACCAGCTTCAAAATCCCTCCACCCCCAGCCTTATCACATGTCCAGCCCTCCCCCTCACTTCCCTGGCCATATCTAACCTGTCCACCTTCCTCCTCACCTATCTGCTCCACCCTTCCCATGGACCAACTGCAATAACCCCTACTTGCATCCATCTATTACCATCTCTCCTACCCTTCCCCCAGCTCCACCTCACCCCCTCTATTTTCATTTTGGGCTCCCCTCCCCCTCCCCAGTCCTGACAAAGGGTTTCAGCCTGAAGTGTTGGTTTTCCTGCTGTCTGACCTGCTGTGCTTTTCCAGCCTCACACCTATAGACTCTGGCTTCCAGCATTTGAAGTCCTTATCGTCTCCAAGTGGACGATCCACCTCAGCCTCCTCAACAGGTCTCCAGTATCACAGACATCAGTCTTGAACCAATTTGACTCATTCCACATGATATCACAAAATGGGTGGAGGCACCAGATCCTGGAAATGCTATGAGCCCTGACAACAATCCAGCAATAGAACTGAAGACCTGAGCTCCAAAAATTGTCCTGTAGGTAGCCAAGGTGTTCCAGTAGCTTGGCTACAACACTGGCATCTTCCCAACAATGTGTAAAATTGCCTAGGTATAACCTGAACACCAGACCAATCAATTACTACCCCCATCAGTCTACTCCTGATCATTAATAAAGTGATGGAAGATGTCATCAACAGATCTATCAAGCAACACCTGCACAGCAATAACGTGCCCAGTGACACCCAGTTTAGGTTCTGCCAGGACCACTCAGCTCCTGAATTCATGACAGCCTTGGTTCAAATATGGACAAAAGACCCGAATTCCAGAGGCGAGGTAAGTGATAGCCTTTGACATCAAGGCTAGATTTGACTGAGTATGGCATCAAGGAGCCCCAGCGAAACTGGAATCAATGAGACTCTCAGCTGATTTGAGTCATACCTGGCACATAGGAGGATGGTTGTGGCTGTTGGAGGTCAGCCATCTCAGCTCCAGTACATCACTGCACGAGTTCCTCAGGACTATGCCCAAGTCCCAGCCATCTTCAGCTGCTTCAATGATCTTCTCTCCATCGTAAGGTCAGAAATGCAGACGTTCGCCGATGACTGCACAATGTTCAGCACCATTTGCAACTCTTCATACACTGAAGCAATCCATGTCCAAGTACAGCAAGACCTGGACTATATCCAGGCTTGGGCTGACAAGTAACACTCATGCCATATAAATACCAGGCAATATGCATCTTTAATAAGAGGCAATCTAACCATCGTCCTTTGACATTTAATAGAGGTACCATCGCTAAATTCCCCATAATGAACATCTTGGAGATTAGCATTAACCAGAAACTGAATTAGGCTCACCATATAAATAGATGGACTACAAAAGCAGGTCAGAGGCTAAGAACACTGCAGCGAGACAACTCCTTCCACCAAGCCCTCAACCACTACTGTGTAGAAGGACCAGAGCAGCAGATATGTGGGAACATCACCACCTGCAGGTTCTCCTCCAAGCCACTCACCATCCCAACTTGAAAATGTATCGCTATTCCTTCAAAGTCGCCACATCAAAATCTTGGAATTCCCTCTCTAAGCACGGTGCGTCTGTCTACAGCACGTGGACTGTAGCGGTTCAGGTAGACAGCTCATTACCTTCAAGGGCAAATTAGGAATGGGCAATACATGCTCACCAAGCCAGTGACAACCATGTCTCACGAATGAATTTTAAAAAAAAAAAGAGAAAGAAAGTGAGAGCTAAAGTGCTCATAACGATCAATGGTGCAACAGGAAAACTGAACCCTGCAAAACATTGGAATATCCATCCAATGGTTCATACTCAAGATGACAATCCCAACATTGACCAATTCTTCCTCTTAAAAACTAGTGTAAG